TCCTTTGCTTATGGGCTTGGCCTGGGCCAGCGGCTGGTCCATCTTGGAGCCGGCTGGCATTGGCTCTGTCTTACATAGGGAAAGTTTCTAGCAGCTTCTCACAAAAGCCACCCCTGTAGCCCTCCCTCCCCCCACCCCCCTTGCCATGCAAACCCAATACACCTGGATAAATACAGACTCCAGCCTTGTCTGGTTTTCCGGTTGCACTGATTAAGTCATAGCCAGTTACAAATCTCTGCCAAAACCTGTAACTCAGGCATAGGTTTCTATCCACACCCTCCTTGGAAAGCCCCTACAAGTGGTTTTAGGCAAGACAGCAAAGGATTTTGAAGACCCCACTCTACCCAGACATGTGCACTGCATCTGCAGCTTAGATTTAGGCCACAGGGATCTTGTTTTTCTGGAGGGTTTTCAGGGGAAGTACTGGCATACTTGCATTTTTTTTTTTTACTGGGCTGATGTTGATCCTGGAGGGTGTCTTTAAACAGCCTTTAAAAATGAAAAGACCTCGCCTATCTGAAACCAGGTGTTTTAGATAAACTTGCAGCTGTACGCACCCACAAAAGATAAGTGGCATGCAGGGCCTGTATTAATGCTCCTAATGATATGCCCTGGCTTGAACTTGTACTTTGGTCACAGTACTCGTACACTTTGGTATCTTAAAAGTCCATTAAGAGAAACGCCATGTAATTCAGGTTACTATTTATTAATTTACTGTTATTGTGAGTGAGGTGACTAATGATTATCTCTGATTTAGCGCTGAATCACAGCTGTAGGAAGTGAGAAATAGTTCCTTAATGGTCTCACAGCTTAATAATTTCTAAGTGAAAATTTACTTGGAGTGTATCATTAACAAAAGGAGGGATGCAAAAAAGCCTGGTCAAGGCATTTGGGGTGGATGTGCGTCATGAAATGGGATGCTGGGAAGTTAGGATTTTGCCTGTAGGGCTGGTAGCTCATTGCTAGTGCTGCCTCCCTTCCCTCGCAGAGCGGTCCTTTTTCATTTACTTACAGCTTGGCTTGGTTATAACTATGTGTGTTGAAAGTTTTATCTACTGAGTGGGTGCCAAAATGTGGTGGCCTGTTTGGAGAGCAGAGCTTGAGAAAGGAGCCAGTTTGCATAAATTTTATAATTTTCTTTAATGTGGCTTCTCTTTAAATGCAGCACTTTGGGTTTGTTGAGATGAGCTTTTTTGTGCATCTTTGGAAAACAAACATTTGTACCTACATTTCCAAGACTTTCTGACCTTGAGGTCTTCGTGGCCTCTCTGGCAAAACTAAATGTTTTCTTCGATATCAAACTGGTTTTCAGCTTTCCATTGTGGTGCAAAAAAGTGTGTTGGGCGGGAGGTCATTTTTCAGGCCTGCCTAGCCCTTCTGATGGGAAGATCATTTGTTTGTGTGCCAGCGGGTGTGGGAAGAGGGAAAACCCCCCTCATTTTAGAGGAGGTGACTGCTGCTGCAGGGGGCTGAGTTGCGTGCTTGCCTCTGCCAGGGACCCTGGGCATGGTGCTGGACGAGTCACCTCAGCAATGGCTGGGGCAGCTCATTGCGTCTGCCCCCATCTTTGCAAAGCTGATGTGAGACCATGGGGATGGATGTGAGGAGCATCGAGCTCTTGGAGGTGCAGCCTGAACTTCAGGGGAGCTGCTCTTCAAACGTGTCATTTTTATAGGGCTCAAATATTGCAGGAGCTTAAGTCTTCATTTGCTGTTTGCCTCACTCTCTGCTACCCTTCTGTGGCTGTAAAATTGGGGATGATGCCACCCTCAGAGAGATACTGGGAGTTTGCATGAACTTTTGAAAGACGAAGTAACAAAAATCCCCAAGGAAAATGCTCAACTGTCCTTCAACCAGCCTTTGAGTAGTGTGTAATGACTAAGACCTGTGCCTACACCTGATTTAGGGAGGGGTGAGGGAAATGCTGAATAGCCACTCATTCAAGGAGAGTACAACGTTCCTGGTGCTGACTTAGGCAAGGATCTAGGTAACCCCGTGTGTGCTCATATAATTAAAAGCCTGTCTTGCAGCTCATATGGATCAGACACACAGGTAGATGGGGCAGGAAACCTTCATCCTGGTGTCTCTGAACTTGAGTCCTCAACTTGGACTTGGATCGTGCAGCTCGTTGTGTAAAGTGGCACATTTAATGGTATTACGGTGAAAACAAGCCCACCTTCAGCCAATAGAAACAGCGAGGGGACTGAGGAGGTACTGAGTGTGGGGAAGGTCTGTTTGGTCCCATCTGTAGCTTCCAGCAGCAGCCGAGAGTGGGGGCCAGGGAAAAGTTTATGGCTGGGACACCACGGTGCATTGTCCCAGCTTCCATCGATTTACAACTTGAGATACCAGAAGCCATGCCTTTCTTCCTGATAATCCTTGATGAACTTTCCTTCTATGAATTCATCTTAATGATTTTTTCCAGCCAAGTGAACTTTTGGTCCACCCAGCAGAGTTCCCCCTTTTAACTGTGTCCTGTGTGGTGGTTCTGGCCAAGTTTCCGCGCAGTCCTTCCTGCTGCTGCTTTTGCACTTTGCAAACTTTAAAAAAATTGCTGAGGTGGAGAGAGAGCTCCTGTCGCCTGCTAGGGACCATTGACCATTGCAAAGCCAAGCACATGGGGTTCAAGATGCCAGGTTCAAGACTGCACGTCATCCTGGATACCGAATGAGGCAGGGAGGGGCAGTGCGTGGCCTCAATGCTGAGCCCCCACCAGCCTGGGCTTGTGTCCAGCTTTATTCTTTCAGCAGCCTGCCACGATGTCCTGTAGAGGAGAGTGATGCAAGAGAACTAGTTCTCTTACGGAAATCTCTCTCTATCTCTCTTATAACCGGATGAAGCTGCTTGAAATGCAGATCCTCGGTAGCTCCCACTGCTTATGAAATCACTAGAGCTTCTCAAAAGGTAAAGGATTTCTTTCCTGAGAGGGATATGATGGTCATGTTATAAACAGGTATCTTGTCCCCATGTCATTTAGATCCAAAATGGGCTTGGTTCAACCTGTGCTAGCTTGGTGGGGTTGGAAGGAGATTCTGCTTTCTTACTTAGCAGAAGATGGAGCTGGTGTCCCACCTGCCTGCTCACAGCCATGGTTAGTTGCTGGCCTCCAAGTCTGAAAACTGGTTGCAAACTGTGTTAAGAGGGACACAAAACGGCTGAATGTGGCTCGCTGTCTTTTGTGTTAGAGCAGTGCCGCCATGCCAGTTCAGCTTTTAAAGGTATGTTAGTGACAGTCCTGGTTTCTTAAACTAATTTCTGGAGCAATCAAAGGGAATTGTTTTGATGAAACGGGATATCGCTCTGACACGTTGGCTCCTGGTGTTCGCTGGAGGACCCTCTGGGTAAACCGGTCCCACGTGGCATCTCTGAACAGCAGAGCTTGTGGTTTTGATTGTATCTTAGAACTGAACAAAATTTAGCTCAGCTGACAATCTCCTGACACTATACTGCAAGTTTTTCTTTGTGTGGTATTTGGTGCAGGAGTCCTGGCTGTCTGTCTTGCTTGTTTTAAGGTTCCTGCCTTGTCACAGTAAGAGATGGGACACGTACAGTGCCTTATTTACTATAGAGAGCCACAACCCATTAATTAAATTCCTAAATCTCATATGCCAGAAAAGAAATGATTACATGTCAATACAATTCCTCCCTGAAAATTTTTTTGATACTGAAGTTAATGTGTAGTCAAAATATGTACCCTTGTCCTCCTTTCCTCTTGTCCCTGAAATCTGAGGGACTAGTAATCCGTTTACCATTTCCATAACCTGATATTTTTCTCCAAAAGAAGACACAGAAGGATGGCCGTGTGGACTGGGTAGTTTTTCCGGGTAGGGGAGCAGTGGCGTGCTGCTCTGTTTTGGTGCAGAATTTCTCACGCAGATGCCGTTGCACCATGCAAAGCAGCTCAGCTGGCTGTCAGTCATGGCTCTGTGCACCACCAGGCGCTGGGTTTGCCGATGGAGGTCAACAGGCTACACCATCTCTGTGTTTTTTAACTAGTCACCTATCTTCTGGTCGCGTAATTACCTTCTTTTTGGTTTTCTTGGAAGTTAAATAGATATGCTTGATCACTTCCTATGGGTGTGCAATCCTAAAACTTAGCCATACTGTAGTGAGAACATAATTTATCTTCCCTCTTTTTGCAAGATAACTGTTTTTTGCATTTTTGGTGGTTCCGTGGTTGTGGCATGATCCACAGCAGCCTTGTAACAGACCCCAGGCATCAAGGCAAAGCAGTTCTCCTTTTGCAATGTCAAACCTATGTTTGCAAAAATAAGCATGAGCCAAACTGCTGAAACGGGTTCATTTAGGGGAGGTAATTTAGCAGAACTGCTCTGAATATAAAAAATAGGGCAACCATGGAAGGATTTCTTGTTTAAATTGTTATTTTTGTCAGCAGCTGACAAGATACTTTGTTTGTCAAATATTTGTTGCCCGTGCAGCTGTCCCTTGTGATTTCTGGAATGAAGATGGGAAGATTTTTTTTTAATAACATCTGTCCCGGCCTTGCAAATTCGTCCCGAAAATGTAGGAGTGCAGGATGACTCACTGGTTTTCCTGTGTCAAGGAAATTAGAGTAGTGACATCATCTAATTCAGAGATAAAGAAATGCCTGATCTGGGTGCCTTCAGAGAGGCAGATTTTAACTTTCAACCTGCTGGTTTGAAGTCACATAGTCTAGAAATCAGCGTCTGATTTGCAAGGTGACTGGAACGGGAGTCTGGTTTTCTTGTTGTTTTTTTTTTGCCAGGGTTGTATAAAACTTGACTGTGGCAACCCAAAACATGCAAATTTATACCAAGAGAAAAATATTTTAGCTGCTGTCAAAAATAAGGTCTTGCTAAGAGCTCAAAAATTCCTGTGGGTTAAGAAAAAACACTTTAGCTAACACCACCTTGAAAACCTTGTGTGTTAGCAATGTTTGGCATCTCCAGCCGTCTGTCTCCAAGCTGAAAGACTGCTTGTTTCGTGTAACTGGCATGTCTCTGCTGGTCTCCTTAAGATCTTCTGTGTTACGTTCCCGGCAGGGGACAGGGGCCAAGGTAGTGATGCCAAGAGGAACAAGCATCAAAGGCAAGGGTGCCAAGAGTGAGGTCTGCTCTGGTTTATTCAGAGCGCTGAATGAAGAAAGGGAGCCCAGTTCAGCATCCTGCCTGGTGCAAGGGAATGCTGGCATCCCCAGCACCGAAACCTCTGCTGGGTATTTGGTGACGCTTCAGTGTATTACTCAGCTAAGTCTAAAAAGAAAACATGACATTGTTTCTACTCACGTATGGGTGGTGGAGAAGAGACGAGTCCCACATGCAGGAAAGAGGGGGGACAACAGCACGGGAAGCAGGAAGGTGGGTGGTATGGTAACGCATCAGGTGCTTGAGAAGTCCTGCTTCCCCGTCTGGACCTGCGATCCAGGCTCTGTGTTGTGATGGTGGGATCCTGGGAAGTGAAGTAGGCAAAATTTCCAGGGTAACTCCATCTTGGTGGGTTTTTTCCCTGGGAAAG